TGTGAAAGCCTCCAGTGATGAAGCTCCCACAACTTCTGAAGGCAACTTCTATTCCATCGGTTGATTGTTCTCACTATCAGAAAATTTGTTATTTCCAGGTTGAATCTCTCCTTGTTCAGCTTCCATCAATTATTCCTTGTCTGACCTTCAGGTGCTTTGGAAAATAGCTTGATCCCTTCCTCTCTGTGGCAGCCCCTCAAATATTGGAAGACTGCTATCATGTCTCCCCTGGTCCTTCTCTTCACTAGACTAGCCATGCCCAGATCCTGTAACCGTTCTTCATTTGTTTTAGTCTCCTTCCCCTACTCATCCTGGTTGCTCTTCTCTGCACTTTTTCTAGAGTCTCAACATCTTTTTTATAGTGTGATGACCAAAACTGGATGGAGTACTCTAGGTGTGGTCTTACTATTAGTACCTCCCTTGATCTTGATTGTATCTTTCTGTTAATGCATCTTAGGATTGCACTGATGTTTTTGGCTGCTGGTGCACACGGCTGGCTCCTATTTAGCAGGTTGTCCACTAAGACTCCAAGATCCCTCTCACAGTTACCGCTATTAAGCCTGGTTTCACCGGGGTGATATGTGAACTTTTTTTTTTAACCTGAGTGTAGGACTTTACTTTTCTCTACATTGAATTTCATTTTGTTGGAAGGGCCCAGTATTCAAATCTGTCAAGATCCATCTGGAACTTGAGTCTAGTTTCTAGGGCAGTGATGGCAAACCTTTTTTGGCTCCCGTGCCAAAAGCGGGGGGAGCTCAGGGGGGGCCGTGCATGTGCATGCCATACCCGTAATGCTATGTGCACAACTCTCCCCTGCACGCATGATCAGCAAACATCCCCCCTGCTTTTGGCACGGTTTTTTTCACCCTCCCCGGGCTCCAGAGGCTTTCTGGGAGTCCGGGAGGGCGAAAACAGCCTCCTCCACTCCCCGGAGGCCCTCCAGAGCTTCCCTAAAGCCTCCGGAGGGCGAAAAACGGACCTACAGGGAACCTGGAAGAACGTCCCCAAACTTCTGGTTTGCCCTTAGGGCCGGTTTTTCGTGCTCCAGAGGCTTCAAGGAAGCTTCCGGAGAGTGAAAAACGTTCTCAAAAGAAGGCCGAAGTCAGCATGCGTGCTGGGCAGCTGACAGGGCAGCGCCTCATGTGCCCTAACAAATGGCTCCATGTGTCACCTGTGGCATGCATGCCATACATTCACCATCATGGTTCTAGGATGTTAGCTATTCCTGCCAGCTTAGTATCATCTGTAAATTTGGTAAGTTCCACTTCTATTCCCTAATCTAACTAGTTTATGAAGATACTAGAGAGTCCTGAGCCTAAGACGGAAGCTACCCTGCTGCTTATTTCCCTCCATGTAGAGTTCGACCCATTAAGGAGTACTTATTGAGTACGGTTTATCAGCCAGTTGCGAATCCATCTGGTGGTGATGCTATCTATCCCACATTTTTCTAGCTTACCAAGAAGTAAGTTGTGGTCTACTTTGTCGAATGCCTTGCTGAGTATAAGTATATTATGTCCACAGTATTTCGCTGGTCTACTAATTTAGTCAGTATGTTGAAGAATGAAATAACATTGATTTGGCATGATCTGTTTTTAACAAACCTATGCTGACTGCTAGTTATTACTTTTCTTGTTTCTAGATTTTGGCAGATCTGTTTTTTTTATTATTTTTTTCCAGTGTCTTCCCAGGTATTGATGTTAGCTGATTGGTCTGTAGTTTCCTGGGTATGTCCCCTTTTCTTGGGAAGATGGGAATCAGCTCTTTTCCAATCCTCTGGTAGTTCCCCTATGCTCCAGGATTTTTGAAAGATGTTGTGCAGTGGTTCTGAGATGACATCTGCCAGCTCCTTTAGAACTCTGGGATGTAATCCATCAGGTCCTGGTGATTTTCTTCAAGGGGCAGCCCTTGAAGAGCATTCGGAGACTTCAACTTGTCCAGAATGCAGCCGCGCGAGCGATTGTGGGTGTACCTCAATACACCCACGTTACACCTATCCTCCGCGAGCTGCACTGGCTTCCAATTAGTCTCTGGATACGCTTCAAGGTGCTAGTTATCACTTATAAAGCCCTTCATAGTATTGGATCTGGGTACTTGAGAGACCGCCTACTGACAATTACCTCCCAAAGACCCATTAG